TTGAATTTTTATAAAATCCAAAAACATTATCTGCAAGACAAGTTAGATGAACCTTGTTCTTCAATTATTTTAATTTATAATTATATACTGACATGGATAGAAACATAGAAACATAAAACGTGACAGCAGATAAGAACCATTTGGCCCATCTAGTATGTCCAATTTTCTAAATACTTTCATTAGTCCCCGGCCTTATTTTATATATAGGATAGCCGTATGCCCATCACACTCATGCTTAAGCTCCTTCACTGTGTTAACCTCTACCACTTCATCTGAAGGGCTATTCCATGCATCCACTACCCTTTCTGTAAAGTAATACTTCCTAATATTATTATTAAACATTTGCCCCTCTAATTTAGAACTATGTCCTCTTGTTGTGGTAATTTTTTCTTCTTTTAAATATAGTCTCCTTCTTTACTGTGTTGATTCCCTTTATGTAATTAAATGTTTCTATCATATCTCCCCTGTCTCGTCCTATCTCCAAACTATACTTGTTAAGGTCCTTTAACCTTTAATTGTAACTTGTATCCTGTAATCCATGAACCAGTTTAGTAGCCCTTCTCTGAACTCTCTCCAAAGTATCAAGTCTCCAGTACTGCATACAATACTCCAAATGAGGTCTCACCAGTATTCTGTACAATGGCATGATCACTTCCCTCTTTCTACTGCTAATACCTCTCCCCACACAACCAAGCATTCTGCTAGAATGCATACAACTGTTTCCATCTCAAATCAACCCACCAGTATAATTCATGATCAAAAGGTAATCGGAATCACTACCCAAATAATTAATAAGATTGATACTCTTCTAGTATTGGAACTAGAGATACCGACTCCACTGATTCCCTTTTCAAGGTGGTTTATATCTCAAGGACCACTCTGACATCTTATGTAGACTTTTTGTTGTCTTAATAATCAATAAACTGGAAAAAACAAAAAGCATAACCCCAACCCCCCCCCCAAAAACCTGTACATTTCTATATTTTGTGCAAATGATCTAAACCAGACTTACACTCACATTATGGTTTTCTCATGTCCTCCACCTATCCTCCATAGAACCTGGAAACAAAGTTCTATGGACATCATTGTAAATAGCCCCCTCTAAAAAAAAAAAATGAAAAAAATAAAACCATCACTATTGGTGTGCTTAATCATTAAATTAATGATGCAACAAGATCCTCAAAAAAGTAATAATCAATACCTAATAAGGTTTAAAGCAATGTTGGCGGGCACACAACCGAGTTTGGGATGAGTATCTTGAACAATAGGAAAGAGAAATCACACAGAGACCAAGTTAAATATAAGAATTCACATCACACTTTATTGTCCATAAAGGGATCCAAAACAATATAAGTTGTACTCTCATTTAAGTTATTGCATGCATTCATACCAAACAGCTTAATTATCTAGATATCAGCCTATAGGGACACTAAAGTCACCACAACAACTGCAGCTTAATGTAGTTGTTCTGGTGAGTATATTCATTTCCTTCAGGCATTTTCATGCAACACTACCTTTTCAGACACTACCTTTTTTACATTGCCCCTACGGACACCTCCAAGTGGCCACTCCACAGATGGCCACTGGAGATGCTTTCTGGGGCAATGCTACACAGTAGGCAGCACTGCCGTTCAGCGTTTCCACTCTGTGCATGAGAAAGCAGAATTTTCCTCATAGAGATGCATTGATTCAATGCATCTCTATGAAGAAGTGCTGATTGCCCAAAATGGCGTTTGGCCCCACCCCCATCCCGCCTCCTTGCATATTTTAGCCAATCCAGTGCTTTCCCAAAAATTGGCAATACTGATGATGATAAGGTGAGTTTTAATTCTTTTTAAGGGTGCTGAGGGGGCGCAAGCCACCTAAATGGTTGGTTTAACACTATATGGTCAGGAATACATTTTTGTGTTCCTGACCCTATAGTGTTCCTTTAAGTATACATCACCATTAGAGAAGCTTGGTTGCCCCCTGTTGCACACAACTGGGGGAACTCTGGCAGTCAGGCTTGGAGGGACCCTCTCCACTGGGGACAGCAGAACCAGCAACACGCATCCGTATTACAGGTGGGTAGTTCTCCATGTGAGTGCCAAGTTTCACTGTCTCTTATACCTTTTTCAAAAGAGTGGGCAGTTTGTACTTTTCCACCAAGTTTCTTATCAGTGCAGTCCAACAAAGACCTGTCACGAGCGCTGGATGGGACTGGAAGCTGGCCAGCCTGTTCAGGACCACCAAAGACACCATGTCATGTCTTTTCGGTTAGCTTATGTCTTATCTATCTCCTAGCACTATACTATTTTTGTGATGGTACGCATGCAGCCCCTCAATGTCGAGTCATGCTGATGCTGTGTTTTCATGCTGTGTTTGTCTTGGGACACTGACTCTGTGTGCTAGCACCATCTTGTCTATCTACTTATATTAATATCAGGTTTGCTCAGGAGTGATCATTCAATTCCCAATATTATTACTTCATTCCATCCCTTGATCACTGGTGAGCAAAATGATCACATCTCTTATTTCTTTCGTCCATTCCATTCAGGCTACCAGCAGGGGGAGTATCCCATTGTCCCGCTGATATCCATAGCGGTTGCAGTCGTAATCGGAACCCATTCAAATTAAACTTTTCTAGCTGTAATACTATTATTTCTTTGTAACCTAGCTTTTCTTTGAATGCAGCAAAGTGTAATTTTGTAGCATAGACAAAATGCAGAGCATAATAAAAACACACCACACAATTTTTTTCATATTTTCAGTCCAAGCTCCCCTATCCAGGATCCTATGCCAAATGTCCAATCAAAGTCTCTTGTAGCATTAGCTAGCCAGTGTCCTAAGTCATTTATGTGTTAATGGTTTTCTAAAGCGTTTCTGGACCTCTTCTAAATGATGAATTTTCCCTGATTCATCTTCTATCCACACACAACATGCCTTGCCTCCTATTCTTTTGCACACACCTCCTTCTGCTGCAAGATGGTAATCTAAGGCTATTCTGTTCTGCAAAGCTACCTGTCTAATCTGTTCTTGTTCATAACTAAGCCATTTTACAGCGTTACTTGTGCTATTAAAGGCGTCATCTAATGAGTCAATCAATAAGGCCTTGTTTATTATAAACTTCAAAAGTCACCATTTCTCCCCAAGTGTTGTCAGTTTGGTACAGTCCCATGCACAGTTTAACTGCACCTGATTTATCAGTGGTATCGCCATTTAAGAAGATTTTCTGTGTCTTTTATGTTTTTTTTCATTACAAAGTCAAAACTATCATTATGTCTGAGTATGAACAGAAAGTCTTCAGTAGTCAGTACCCTAGGAATATAGGGATACCCTCTGTAATGAGCATGTGGACTGTGTCCACATATCCAAAATGGTTCACACAAATTCAAGCTTTCGTATACATTAACTGATACTTTTACGAAATGATTATGTTCCTCCCAGGGTGAGAGGTGTCTGTCTGTATTAGAACAGGTTGTTATCAATGCTCTCTGAAGCTTCATGAGCTGGTACCAAAAGTTGTCAATAGTACTGTTGGTGCAGCAGTAGGTTATGCCACTTTCTTCTGTGATATTGTATGTTCGATTAGTGCTTTGTTCATTTGTGTAATTTTGCCATGCTTGTTTAAGGTCATCTGTAGAAATATTGCAGCTTTGACCTTCATGTGTATATAGTATTTGGCAGCCAAAAGGCTTTGTAAATGTTAATGTCAGAACAGGGCATGAGTTATTTAGAATATCCTTCTCCTTCCAGGCTTGCTTTGATGTTTTCACAGTCATGGGTATCATTAAAGCAGGTTACTCTTATCTCCATCTTTTTCCATTTCATCTCTGTGGATTCACTCTGGTCCCAAACCGACCAAAGGGTGTAGAGTAAGCACAGCCCTCACAATAACAGCCAGACCAATGTGCGTTGCCTGTAAAGAGAGCACTCATTTTATTCTCTTAAGTAGCATTTGCCTGCAGGCACATATTCCCATTTGTCTTATCCTGTTTTGGAAAGCACTACTGTGTTATCATTGCCTCTGGCTTTTACCTCTGCTGGGGGCCCTTTTTCTGTTCTTACCCACACATTGGCCCATGGATTTAGGTTAGTTTAACCAAATCCCTTTTCTCAACTTACTGTCTGTAAGATGGGGGCTGTTTCTTTGTGTACTTGTCTTTTATAAATGGGGATGATAACCAACTGAGCTATTCTGTCCCCTTCTTGCACTAGTAAGTCTTGTGGTCCTTGAGTTAACAAGAGGACCATTATTTCTCCTATTACGTGTATCCCTTTAAGAGCTAGGCTAGACCTTGGTGCAATTAGTCCGAAATGTCCCGGGGGTATTTGTATACCTATGCCTATAGGGAACATCTGTACCTGCCCTACTTAGAGTCTTTCTTCCTTTCTGGCTCGCAAGTCTATGCTAAGGGTGCTAAGGCCCCTTCTTCAATCTCCCAGTGTGTGATTGTGTTGATTGCTACATACAGTTTTACCTGTATGTTGGGTGCAATCATTTTAGTGAGGGGAGTGTCATGATCTGAGACTGGTCTATTGTTTAGAATGTTAACAGCAGTAGGCAGATTATCTCACCATGTATGCATGGTCCCTTCCCCGAGCTTTCTCAGTTGCTATTTAAGCAAACCATTCATCCTTATTATTAGCCCTGCTGCCTGAGGATGTTAGGGTATGTGGAAAATCCAATCAATATTGTTCCCATTGCAAAAATCTCACACTAGTTTACATTTGAAATGACTTCCATTGTCACTTTGTATCTGAAATGGGAGACCATAATACTGTATCATGGTTTCCAGCATTTTGGTGGTATTTATTTGGGTAGCTCTTTTGCAAGGGTGAAACAACAAATACCCTGAATATGTATCCGCAGCTGTGCATACATATTGATAATTTCTCCTCATGGGTAGTGGTTCTATGTAGTCCACTTGCCATTTTTGTCCTGGAGCTTTGCCTCTTTTTATCTGTCCTTGTACCATCCCTGGTACATGTCTATTCTGCTCATGTTGACACAGTGAACACTACCAAATTACTATTTTGATCAGATCAAGGGGTACCAAGATGTCTCTCTGCTGTTCCCACCTGTGAGTGGCTATCTCTCCAAGGTGTACACATTTCTGATGGGCCCAGTTAGCCAATCCCAAAAGTGAGTTAGGGTTTTCCATGGATGCCTCTGCAATTTTGGCTTGTTCATCTGCAATAGAGTTAAACAGATCCAATAAGTCAGTATTACAATATGCATCCACATAAAAGACATTTCCTATATTTGTTCCCAAAGATCTTTTCCCCAGACTTCCTCGGCATGTATCATGAACTGGTGTGACAGCCATGTGGGCAACCAGGTAGCCAGTCCATTTGCTGCGGACCAAGAGTCTGTGTATATATGACAGCTCCCAGGCATCTCTTGTTTCAGAGCCTGAAATACTGCATATAGCTCTGCGTACTGATTACTTTTTCCTGTTCCTGTTGTAGTCAGTATCTTTTGTATTCAGATTGAAAGACGCTGCATTCCATTGTCGAGTATTTACTACGTATTTTGCTGAGCCATCTGTAAACCACGCATGTTCAGCCTGATCCTCAGATAACCGAGCAAAAGGTTTTCCCCATTTTACTGGCTTCGCTGCCTTTGGCAAATATCCAGGTTCTTGGACAGGTGTATCTGCAACTTTCTTATGTAGTACAGCCATACCACTTAGTCCTGTCTTAGCCCTGTCTTACCATTTCCATTTTATAATACTGGTGCATGCCCTATCCTATGTATTTTAGGAAAGCTCATCATCCATTGCATTATGGGTATCTCTGGACGTAGGAACACTGTATGTCCCACTGTAATTTGCTCTGTGTCCACTAGAGCCCAGTTGCAGGCCAAAAGCTGCCTCTCAAAGGGTGTGCACCTCTCTCCTGCCTCAGGGAGTTTTCTAGTCCAGAATCCAAAGGGAACTTTATTCCTTCCTTGTTTCTGCCTTAGGCTCCAATTAGCCCATTGCTGATTTACTGATATATTGTGGTCTATGTCCCCGTCTTGTACAGGCCACAGATCCAATGCTTGCTTAGCTCCCTCAAATGCATTTTGTTGCTCCTTTCCACAGTCATAATTATATTTCTTTCGGGTCAATTTGTATAGTGGGGCCAGCAACTGGCTTAGATATGGTATGTAATGTCTCCCACATCCAAAAAGCCCTATAAAGCTCTGAGCTTCTTCTTATTTTTAAAAGTCTGAATTCATTGTTTGTGCAGGTCCCTGCACTTTGCTTGGATTGATTTCCCAGCCTCTACTTTTCATATGCTCTATGATTTCTTCCAGTACTTCCTGACACTTTTGTTCAGTTTCTCCCTGTATTATAATATCATCAAAGTAATGAGATATTTTCACTCCAGATGGTATTTTTACCTCATCCAGATGTTCTGCCACCAGCCAGTGACCGATGGTGGGACTATGTAAATATCCTTGGGGTAACCTAGTAAAGGTATATTGCCTCCCTAGCCAGGTAAATGCAAATTGTTCTTGATTGGAATAGTGAAGAAGGCATTAGCCAAATCTATCACCGCACACAAGATACCGGGGTGCTTTTGTATGTTTTCAATTAATGTTATAGTATCTGGAACTGCAGCAGTCAGTGGAGGAGTAAGTTTATTTAATTTCCTTGTAATCTACTGTCATCCTCCAAAAATTGTCAGTTTTCCTGATAGGCCACACGGGGTTATTCCAGGCAGTATCCACTCTTAGGACCCCTGCTTTGAGCAAATCATCAATTGTCTCACCTATCTCTTTGTGTCCTCCTGGAATCCTTCATGTGTACTACTTTAGTAGCAAGTGGTAGTTGTACAGGGGGCATTAGTAATTTTCCCACCACCACTGGTCTTGCTGATATATAGGGTTTAGTTCCAAAACTGTAACAGCCATCCCCCAAATATAGGGTTAATCCTTTCAATATGTCAATGCCAATAATGTACTCTGATATTGGAACAATTAACTGGATATCTTTTCTTGGGTAATTGTCCTATTTTTAATTCTAGCCAAGTCTGGACGACTTCTATCCTTTTTCCTCCAATTCCCGTGATTGCATATGGTAATCCTACAAATTTCTTTGGGTTCCCATGAATTAGTGTTGCTTCGGCCTGTGTCTACTAGGGCTGTAACCCTTTTGACATTTTTATTTTTCCAGTGTATTTTGACTTTAACATGGGGTCTGTTATCTTTTGTTGAAAAGGTGATTACTGGGGCTTGCAAAGATAGTCAATTCTTATGGGGTTTCCTGGTCATTGTAGATGCCAGGTCCAATCCCTCCAAATCCAATTCTCCCAAAAGGGGCAGCTACCAATCTGAGTATGCTTTAGTATTTCCCATATTGCTGCTTCTCTCTCTCCAAGTCAGGATACAGGGGGCTTACTTTCCTGTTTGGTTCTTTGTGTCCCATCATTTCTACCAAATCTTGGACATTCTTTGCTAACTCACTTAGCTTTTTAAAGTTTCTGTCTAGTTCCTCTCCTAGTTGTGTAGGCAACTGTTCGTGTTCTCTTATTCCTGGCAAAAGAGGTGCACTAATTATTACTTTAGGGAGTGGTGTGGTGTAGGGCATTTGTGGGAAACCAGGTAGTTTTTCAGGCCGTCCCGATGGTGTACCACAAGTTTCCACATTACTCACCTTAGTTCCTTTCTTGTGCAGTCCTTTTTGTTTGTAAAGTCTCCATAAGACGGGAATGTCTTTACCATCTATTTGTTCTCTACTTACCCCCTCTCTAAGAAGAGCCAGGAACATGTCTTTTTTACTTACCCGGTCTCCCTGACCTCCTTTTCTTGACCCCTCTTGAGGTCTTGAGGTCTGTATCCAGAGGACGATCGCTCTCTAGAATTTCCCTTTTCATAATTATTCCTTGGTGTCTTGGGGGCCCAATCCCCCAATTCTCCAAGCTGCATAATGACTTCTGCTACCAGTTGTAATTAATTCTCTGTCTGGTTTATTTGCAGGGTCATTATTACCTGTTTATAGGCTGGAGGGACAGTCTTGATAATCTTATTCCTCATTTGAACCGTTACAGGCATTTCCATTAGTCTATCCAGCTGTTGGGGATTCTGGATAGCCTACCATTTCCTGCTTAAGTTTCTTTACTGCATCTGTTAGCCTATACCAGCGCTTGTCATTATCTGGCCAATCGCTAACAGAAGGGTACCGCAGTTTTAGCCCTATCTGGACAGGCTCCAGGAGAGTGAGTGAAGCTGGATTCCCCTCTATCGGAGGAGGTCCATTTAACAACATCCTCATCTTCTAAGATAGTAGCCAATGTTGGTGCATCTATGGCATCCAGATTAATGCCTCCTGCCCATGTGTCAGCTAGTCTGACAACCCACTCATCCAGCGGTTCTCTTGGCTGCTATCTGAAGGTTGAAAGAATGTCAGCTATCTCTTGCTGTGTTCAATCTTCCATAGTTCTTCTCACTTGCCCTAGTTCAGTATACTCTTCCCACTTGCCCACAATATAACACAATATAAAGAGGAAAACAGATACACTAGTAGAATAAAAAATAATACACTTAGAAATGGCAGAGAGCGGGTGTTTTGAAGAAATTAGTCAGGTTTATTTCTTTTCTTTTTTTTTTTTTTGCCTCTTCTTCTCAGAGAAGACTCACAAGTTAAACAACACTGACCAAAGTTTGAGGCGCTAATTAATATACACTTAATACGAAACAGTCACATACTTTTATCAACAAATTAGGAAGGATTAATAGACTTATGAAGATTTATTCAAGTAAAAGAAAAAGTGTAACGTATGTGGGTAAAAAGAAATAGCACTATGAAGTTAAAAAAAATAATAATACATTTTATGGAATGGTTTACCCATCAGGTGATATTTAGAGAAAAGGCACACGATGGCAGGGGAATAAATGGGAGGGAAAAGGGATAAAAAATAAAAATAAAAATATAGACCTATACAACTTTTAGACCTATACAACTTGTAAGAACATTATTCATTCCAATCTATAATCGTGTATAGACTATACACGATTATAGATTGGAATGAATAATGTTCTTACAAGTTTAGAATTGTATAGAATAATGTCCTAAGGGCTCTTTGGTAGAGTGATGGGGAGGCAAGGCCATTCCTTTCTTTTATGTTGTCCCTTTTTCCATTTTTGATTGATTTACTGTTTTTACTGCGTGTTTGTTTGTTCAGTGTGATACCCATTATATATTTAGGTAGTGACTCAGACGTTTTTTAACCCAACACGCTTACCCACAGGTTAGGTAAGTTCATTATCTGAGTAATGAGGGATACTGCTCTAGATAAAGTATGACAGGGAGTTTGTGCCATACACAAGCTGTGTCTTAGGCTGATTCCTTTGTTTAGGACCAGCCTGTCTATGTGTGTAATTATTATTATTTTTTTTTTATATATATACCCTATGTTATGATAGCCCTGATGTTCAAATTGGAGAGAGAGAGCCCTTTGAGCTGGCAGATACTGTTAAATTAAGTTAGCGTCACTGAACGCCCATGGGATTAACTCACCATTTAAAAGATCTCTAACTCTGGATTTCTTGAAGAAAAACCAAATGCAAGTTTGTGCATTACAAGAAACACATTGGATAAAAACTGACAAAATTAATATAAGATCTGTTAATTATCCACTTATCATAAGCGCATCTCTGGAAGAAAAAAAAAGGGGGGGTGGCCTTTATGTTCTTTAAAAATATATCCATAAATATTAAATACCAAGATCTTGATATAGAAGGAAGATATATTATCCTGGTGTGCGAAATAAACAATAAACTCTTTACACTAGCTAATATATATGCACCTAATAAGTCTACCATAAAAATCATAACAAAGATTATGAAGAAAATAGATCAAATTAAACAGGGGGTGCTATTATTGATGGGTGATTTCAACTGTGTAAATAGACCCTTTTAAAGACAGGAAGATCAATAAGATCTTCAGATAGACTACAAAATTTGATAGATCAATTTAACGTTAGGGATATATGGAGAACGTTTCATCCATTGGAGTCGGACTTCACATGCTATTCAAAAACATTCAATTCCTACTCCAGAATCAACCTTATTTGGGGGGATGTGGCCATGCTGTACCTTGTTAAAAAGATTGTAATACAGGATATAACATGGTCAGATCATATTGGATTACAAAGATGTCATAACCCAATCATATTAAATTACAAAGATGTTTTGATAAGTTTCATAAAGACTGGCATTGAACGATTATATATTATACAAAAATTATAATATTGAACAGATTAAAAAAATAACCAAACTTTTTTTGTGGAAAATAATAATAAGGGGACATCAGATACTATAGTATGGTGCGCTTACAAAAGCGTAATTAGAGGCCACTTGATGGGGATGGCAGCTAGAATGAAAAAGAAAGAATGACTCCCACTCTCAGAGCTATATATAGCGCTAAATGAATATAAGAAACAGAATAAAATAACACCTTCTACAGAAATAGCAAAGAAAATATCTGAAATAGAAGAGAACATAAATGTACAGTTATCCAATAAAAAAGCAATAACTTTAGATTTTTTTAAAATCTAAATGGTATCATAAAGGCAATAAACTTGAAGCGCTTATGACGAGTAAGTTGAAAAAGGAAAAAAATAAAATAGTGATATCTAGAATTAGGGATAAAGATACATACATAATGGCCCCAGAACAAAAAGGTGGAGCATATGA